AAAATCTTTTCTTGAAAGGAAATGCCATAAAATAACTTTGATTTGTTTACTTTCAGAATCCTAATTTTCATAATCTTTACAATGTTTACAATATTTATTAGTATTTATTTTATGTCTAAAATGTTTGTGGATACTGCTGGAATTTGTGAATTTCCTCCAGGGGATGAATAAAGTATCCACCCATCCATCCTGAACAACTGTAAGCTGTAAATACTTAGATGAGCCTAAAATAATATTAAAAAGACAGAGACGAGTTAAGATGTGACAAAATGCACAAAATGCAGCTCAGTTTCTTGGTTCCCAGTCTATGGGAAAATCTCTATTGGTGTGTATTTCTGAGCAAAGACCAGAAAAAGACAAACTCCTCTGCATCAATCAGAAGGACAGAAGATGCAGATATATGCTGCTTAATTTATTAGTAAATGCTCAGCCATAAATAGTCTGATCCTGAGAATGAAATCCGCTGGGGAATTCACGGGTAACTCCAGCAGGACTTTCGTCAGTATGTATCCCACAGGCTCTTGTCATGTAAAACTTGGCTTGGCTGCGACCTCTGACCTCCTCACTATTCATTTCACGGAGCTCATTCTGCTGATGTGCTCCCTGAAAAGCCACTCGGGATTAAAAAAGGTGAAATTTGCTGCTTGAAGTGCAAAACCTTAACAACCTTAACAGACTTTTTCCACATGAGAGCAAATAAATGTTTGTTTACAAAGTGTGTTTAATGACTTCCTACAACTCTACCCATCCATTAAACTTTACCCACTAATGTCAGACCATGCCTAATCTTCCACCATCACGTCAGCCAAGCGGAAAGCTTCACTGTAACCTTTGCGAGAAGCCGTGTTTCTCCCCCGAGAGGCTCCACTTCCACTGGCCTGGAAGTGGAGTCGACCACCATTTGTCAAATCTTAATCTGAAATCTCAAAAATAACCAATTTTTCTTTACAGTTTTTGGCAGTTTTTAGTTTTCTGTAACCCCGATAGGGACGTAAATTCCGCCATCGGACCCACTTGGCAATTTTTGTCTGACCGTGGAGGTCATGCACAGGGATACGCTACACCAGAGGTCCCCAACCCCCGGGCCTCGGACCGGTACCGGGCCGCGAGAGTTGAGGCTCACGTGTGAAATGTGTAGTTTTCAGGGTTTTTATCGGTTTTCAGCGTTATTTTGTTATCGTTTTTATCGTTTACTCGGTTTTCCTGGGTCTTTTCACGTGTGTTATGAATAAATTTTCTTTTTTTCAGTACCGGTACTAGTTTTATGTTGTTGTATTTATCCGCGACACCTTAAAGGCCGGTCTGTGAAAATACTGTCGGGCAAAAACCGGTCCGTGGCGCAAAAAAGGTTGGAGACCGCTGCGCTACACAACAATGCACCAACCACGCACACGCCCTTCAGCTGCACCTCAACCAGACTTCAGAGTAGTAGAACATGAAAGGCCACACCTCGGTCACCACCATAGCTGAACACTGCATCGAGATATCATCTAGTATTTCATGAAAACTAAAACAACCTCACAACTATACCAAACTCTTCCTCCTCCTCATACTTCCTAAAATTAACCACCACGCTTGCTCAGTTCAACCTCACCCATCCCGCAAACATCTCTCTGCTCACTCCTGCATCAAATTTGTTCTCTTACACGTCCCTCATTCCCTTCGCCTCTATATCGTCAACTCATCCCGTCACGCAGTGAAGTCTTAAGTGCTTCAACTGAAGGCAGCTGGACTTCTTAGATTAAGGAAATGTTTCCTATCTCACATCTGCGGTGCTTTTTCAGTTCTAAAAGGTGATGGGGGGAGCACCAGGTATTTAACTCCTAGTGGGGGTTCAGGCTGTGGATGTAGTCCTGAGAGTTGTTGACCCACCCCGATGGTCTGTGAGTCGTTAAGCTTACTACCAGTCAAGGGACGGATTCTTTGTCTTCATGACCCTTAAAGGAAGTCCAGCTCCTTTCAACTCAGCGCTGGATAACTGAGGCTTTCTCCGTTTTGGCTTCCCGTCCACACTGAGACGGCATTTTCCTCAAGGAAAAACGATGCGTTTGAAACGATGACGCATTTTAGTCATGTGATGCAGTCACATGAAAAATTAAAAAAAGATAGCGGAGGCCATTATACAGCAGTTGTTTTGATTTCTCTCAATTTTGACAGCTCTAAAAAAGATTATTATCAGTTTGTACATACTCCAGATAGCTTTTCTTAAAATTCTTTAATTCCCACTCGCTTTTGCACATGCGCAGGACTGGAACATAAGCATTTTGGGCCGTTTCAATGTGGACGCGCAACTCTGTGAAAACGACTGAAAACGCTAGTGTGGACGCGGAGCGTTTCCAGACGAAAACGCAGTTTTCAAATCTATCCGGGCTAGTGTGGACGTAGCCTGAGAAACTGAACAGACGTCATGCTGTGAAACGCTTAGCACTGTGCACTACTGCATCATTGCACCTATAAATACACTATACATGCTGTTATTGTCCGTGTGTGTATCTGTTAAGTACATTGAGAGCACAGAAAAAACCCAAAAGAACCCAATTCCTTGATCAGAATCCAATAAAGCTTATTCTGACTCTGATGTAATGCTGCTTTAACTCAAACCCTGCTGTTTTTGACAAAGCTTGTTTGAAACATGTGAAACAATTACTAATTTTTTGTCAAAAAGCACAAAACAGGCAGTTTACTCCCATTTTAAAACAAAATAGTAGCAATAATAACAAAATGAAAAGAGATGAATTCATAAAAGAGGTACAGGTCTGACACAGAGATAAAAATCAAACACACACACAGGTGCTCATAGTTTTCTTCTTAAATAATGCAGCAATGACTGCTGAACTGTTGACTCAATGGCTAGGATGTGTGGGTGACAGCTGGCATGATCCAATCGCAACATGATCTCTTTTTAAATAAGGTTTGGGCAAACGTGTTCACCCTATTCTACATTTCTACAATACTGTTACTGTTAATTCTACTCTCTGCAGTGTTTAAATGCTTACATATACACACAGTTACTGTCCCTCCACACATACGACTCGGTTCTGCTTCTATGCCCCATCTTTGTTTACTATTTTCCACGAGGCTTCTAGACTTCTGATTGGCCAACATTTCTACACGGTTAGGAATATATCGCCACCTGTTGCTTTGGCATGTTCCTAGCAGCGTTTTCCTTCATTTCTGCGTTTACATGTGGACGGGATTATTTTTTAAAACGAAAACGGAAAATCTCAGTTTTCAAAAATACCCGTGTACGTGTGGACGTAGCCTAACAGCCTGCTGTCACAGGCAAACAGGTGCAAGTTTTCAATCACAAAGAGCACACATTCCTGCTAAACTGCACAACCTGTACACAATCTATTTGCTCAGGTTAACGCATATAAATGAAAAGGACGTTTTTCTGGATTTGTGAAGCTGATGCACCAGCCAACAGCTACATTATCATAATATCAAGCTTGAAATAACATAAATTAACCCTAAAGTAAATTTACAGTTATTTCAAAAATCCGTGCTCGTGCCTTGTATGCGGTATAATACAAGGCGTATGCGGTATAATGCGCAGAGGAAAATCGAAATTCCCGCCAGCACGGACTTTATTATAGACACAATGTTTTTGCATCCACGAATCCTAATCAAGACGATTATTGTCAGGCCTGACAGACAGAAACCACTACCAGGAAATATCCCAGGGAATCCAGTGCAGAAGGATAACTGTGTCCTTTTTGCTCTAATGAAGACACAATGATTGCCAGTTTATGTCAGATCAGGTCTTGATTTGCAGTTCTACTAAAACTCAACCATAAATTAGATTAAAAAAACCAAAACCAAAAATCCAGAAAAACAAATGTGTCTCTTCTTTCTAGAGAAACAAACAAGGAAACAGAAAAATTATATAAACTCCTTTCTTTGAAAACTGAAAGTGAGCCAGCATCACTGTAATAACAGTGGCACAGGTAAAATTGGTACGTGCACACACCGCACAGGGAACAGGGAATGGTTAACTGTGATTGATGTCGCCCGGGGGGGGGGGGGGAATGTTTCCCTCCTAAACAGCATGACCTGTGATTATTGGCTCACTTTGTTCTGATACTTAAATGACGTCACGGTGTCACATTTTGCAATTAAAACAGGGATCACTGTTACAGACAGGAAGCATGTGCAAAACTATCAAAATAAGATGCAATCTCTGATAAACCAGTCTTTTTCTTTAAGGTCCGGGGCTTTCAGAGTAAAAGTTGCAAACCTCAAAATCTGTTGAACGCTGTACTGAATTAAAATAGCGCCATCAAGCTGCTAAACCGCCAATCATGATGCACAGACAGAAGAGCTGAGCAGCGCTGGTTTAGGTGGATCTCTGAGGGAGCACCAGTAGGTTCATTTTCCACTTTACAGCCTAGACCAGCGAGAGGGCACCGGATCACAAGAAGGATCTGACCTAACGTAATCTGCATAAGTGGAAGGATATGTAATTAAATAGAGTAAAAAAGTGCCTAGTCATGTTATCTGCCTGCTTCTCAAATTCTTTGTAATCACTTTGTAATACTCAGGCGGGAAGCTGACATCTGAGAGATCCAGCTGATTGCTCTGGTATGCATATTGCTTCCTTGTCTGCTGCCGATTCTCGAGTATTGGGAAAACGTGAATTTTGATACATTTTTTAAGGCGGTATTTGAGAAGTTTGTGTCAATATTGCACAAACTGATACTCTGTTCATTACGCGTGACATGATTTAAAGCTTTCTTTTTAAGCCAGGTAAGTAACTGAAGTAACCTTTGCTGTCTGTGTGATTTGACCGCGGTGTGTGTGTGTGTGTTTTCATTGTGAAATCGACATAATCAAACACATTTGATCATCGCAGAACCGACTCCCAGCCCCACCTGCACACGCCCATTTTCCTCACCTCCATCCATCTAGCCACACATCTAGCGTTCTGCCTCTTTAACCCCATTCCCCTCCAATCAATCAACCAATCGCTTCCACCGAACCCCCCGTCTCCCCCTCCTCACCGTGCACTCCATCTCCTCTGGCTCTGGTTTGATCTGTACAGAGGGCATGTCTTTCTCGCCCTCCTCCTCTGCTTTCTTTTCTTCCTCTTTCACCCTCACAGACTGTGTCGCCACTTCCTTCAGCTCCTCCTCTTCTCCCTGCGTTGGCCGTGGCCTGGTCGCGGGCTCTTCTTTCTTCTCCTCCTCTTCCTGGACTGTGGGCGGCAGAGGTGATGAAGAAGGTGGCGGTTCTTGCTGGGTCAAGGAGCTCTGCTTGGCCGGGCTCCTCAGCCTCTTCCGGGCACTGACCGCACTCTTCTTCTGCTTTGGAGTTGACTGACACTGAGTAAGAAGAAGAAGTACAATAGATGGCATTAAAAGGAGGAAGGTGAGTTTGGTCACAAAAAGAGGAGTACAGAAGGTCGGCAAAGACAGGAAAGGGGGGAGAAGAGGTGATAAGGGAGTCGTTAAGGGGATGAAATGGGGGTGGGGAGAAATTGAGAAGAACAAGAGAGGAGGAGGAGGGGTGAGAAGAAGGTAAGAAAAAAAAGTCCAAACTTCCTGGCCAGGGAGAGGGGGTGAAGGGAGAGGGGGTTGTGTTAAAGGGTATGAGGAAGGTATGAGGAGTAAAGTGGGCAGGAGGAGAAAAAGCAGTAAGCAAGAAAGCAGAAAACAAGAGAGCATAAGAGAAAGAATGAAGAGGAGAAAAGTGCCAGGTAGGACAGGAAGTAAGACAGGAAATGGGTTAGTAGAGTTTGGAGGGAAAAGGTCATGACTACAAGCATTACCTCTACTCTGAAAGCCTGCTAAAGATAACCTCCTCTCAAAAAAATCTGCCAGAAGAGGGGGTAAAAACACAAAAACACACACACACACAAACTCACACTCTGTCTGAAAGAGATGGAAAATTAAAGGCAAAGACAGAGACAGAGGAGGCAGAGAGACAAAGGCCTAATCCTCAGGCTGCCAGTGAGGGAATGAGAACGAAAGAGAAATAACAGCGAGAGCAGGGAGGAGTAGCCGTGAACTGACCCCTCCCTCCCTTTCAGCGGCAGGCAGGCAGACACACCCTTTTCTGGAAGCTGAGCGAGAGACAAACACACACACTGAGAGAAAGAGAGAGAGAGCGAGCTGAAGAGTGCCAAGGCAGAGGGACTCACACACACACACACACACACACACACTTTTAGAAATATACACACCCCTTTCTCTTCTTTTTGGTCTCAATTTTCTCCCCTTTTTTCCCTTTCTTAGACAGTTTCTGAGCTCTATCTAAGAATTATGCAAGTCCCTACAGATAAAACTCTCCACCAACTTGCAAATAGTTTGGCAAGCAGTACCAAAAATGTCCACAGATGTGGAATCCAGCATAATTTGACCTACATTTTTTAAGAGGTTTAGAGACAGTCATATTTTGAAATGTGTCTTACTTTTGATATGATGACTGTACATAAAGGACAGTGAAACAAAAACAGTAAAACAAGAACTTTTTTCCCCCTCCTGTCCATCACGAGCCAGATAAGAATAAATCAAAGCGAGCTGAGGTCAGTTATACCTACAATATGTTTACAGTCATTTTAAACAGGTTTCAGTAGGTTTGGGCAGCCAGTGAAACTAAAATAATATAACAGCAAGAACCAACTGCGTTGAGTCTAGTAGTCAAGACAGTGTAACATAATATGAAGGGGAAAAAAATACAATTACATATAAAACAGCATTTACCACATTAGAAAAGGGTTTAAGACATAATTTCTGACTTTAAAAATAAGAACATTTTTAAACAGTTAATTAATTAGTTCATCTAAGGCACCATAAATGTCATATTCCTTGTTTAACTCTATATATATTCTTCAAAATGAGAAAGTTTAGGATGCAGGAAATTTAAACTAATGCACATTTATCTGTAACTTTATTAGGTGTGCCTATAATTCTCAAAAATACATCCTGCAAGAGGCAAATCTCAGGGTTAAAAATGCCTAGTTGTTGTCAGAGGTCAGAGGAGAATGGCCAGACTCCTTCAAGCCCCTAAGAAGGCAACAATAACTTAAGTAACAACCATTACAACCAAGGTATGCAGAAGAGCATCTCTGAAGCAGCGGAAGACCACACCAGATTCCGCTCCTGTCAACTAAGACCAGGAAACTGAGGCTCACCAAAACTGGACATCGTAAAAATGATGATGAGTTTACATTTCTGCTGCAAAATGAAAGTATAAATCCAACCTGCACTGTATCAGTGGTTCAGGATGGTGTGGTGTAATGGTGTGAGGCACATTTTGGCCCATTAGCACCAACTGGGCATCACTTAAATGGCACAGCCTATAACCCAGCGTACCCATCTTCTGATGGCTGCTTCCAGTGGGATAACATACGATGTGACAAAGTTCAGATCGCTCAAACTGGTTTGTTGACCACCGAGTTCAATGCACTCAAATGACCTCTACAGTAACACATCTCAAGCCAACAGGGCACCTTTGGGAGGTGGTGGAGCCTGAGATTCACATCCTGGATGTGCAGCTCGTGATTGTGCAGCAACAAGGATCAAATTCTCTAAGGAAAATCTCCAACCCAGTTCTAATAAGGTGTGCCTAACAATGTGACTGGCATATTTCAGTGTCTGTCTTTATCCTTCTATTAATACACAGCCACCAGGTCATGACCAAATATTTATATAAACGAAAGTTGTAAAAGAAGTACATCAAGCAATCTACCGCACTTCCTTTTCTTCCTCTTCGAGTTCAGCTCATGCTGACAGGTATGTGGTTAAAGGTGACGTTTGAGAAGTTTGTTTTACAGTTTTGTGGTTTTAAACAGAATGTGACTTTGTGAGATCAGCACATCAACTTCTGGTTAACCTTAATGTAAACCCAGCCGGTGACTGAAAACAACCGATCGATATCAGGGTGAAATTCAAACCCCTCTCTTTCATATTTTTTGTTCACATCTGAGCAAGAGTCAGCACAGACAGCTGACATTGAGAAAAGTCCCATAGCTAACACAAACATCATCAACAGAAACCACCAGCATTCTTTCAAAAGACGTATTAAAAACACCAGCTAAAAAGGCTTGACGTGCGTGTGCTTTCCTAGTGTGAAAATCCACCATCGAAACACTGAAAACCCACGCATTAAAAAGAACAGAAACGGGAAGTGATAGCAAGATTATTCCAGTTGCGCTTCTTTATGTAAAATTCTCACGGTGCGAGAAATGCTGAAATAGATAAACAAGTTCTCGACTTCCTGTCTGCAGCGGCGACCCTGCCGCACGCCCAGCTGTTTAATGGGAAACGCAATGCTGTGTGCTGCACAGCGCAGGGTTAGCTGTCTATGTAAAGCCAAGTGAAGCCAATCTAAATAAGAAAAGATAACAGCTGGTAGCAGCAGGAGAGATATGAAATAATATCAGAAGAAGCAGGGCAAAAATGTCAAAATAAAAGGTTTGATATATTATTTAAGCAAAATAATTAAGTATTAACAGCATTGTTGTGGTTGTTTTCACAGTGAGGAGAAGTTTCTCTCAGTCTGGTAAATAATTAACAAGTTAAACTGCCAGCAGGACTTAATGACAACGCTGGAGAGCACACTCACCAGCACATAACCTAAAACAATCCATCATACGTTATGTCAGCATAGCAGAGAAAATATTTTACATTATCAAATGCAGTGAGCGTCGGTAATTTAAGCATTACGCCACCGAATTCTTCAGAATTCAAATATTTTTCTGACACGTAACTTGTTGAAGTGTGCTGAGAATCGGACACATTTGCGCTCTGCCACACAGGACAGTAACAATTACATCATCACTTGATGTTCTCCTGTTTTTTTTTCAGCCTATGAGGGCAAACAGAGACTCTAAGGCCATGGTGGTGTGTTTCAGGCTGGCATGTGACCCAGCCCCAGCGGATTCCACAGCGAGGTGGGGCCTCGGCCAATCAGCCTGGGTGTGGCTGCAAGCACAACCCCTCCCACACAGACACGCACACAGAGGACACACACTGATCTCTCAGTTCCATTGTGAGGGGACAGAGCCCCCTCTGTGTCTCTAAACAAAGGTAAAGGCAGCTTGATGCCTCACCTTCCCCCCAACTGGCAACCCCCCACAAAGCAAGAGCCTGAATTTCACCAAACTCCACCCACTCATACAGTTTGAAACAGCGTTTACTTTATTGGGCCTGGAGTTGCTCAAGGCACTTCTCTGTGGTATTTTTGACCACAAGCTTCCTTTCTAAGCTTCAGAGACCATTTTTGACCTTAAACATCACACAGGAAAATCCATCAGAGACCACGAAAGAGGTTTGTGCACCAACAAGACCAGAAAACAGTCAAGGATGCTTCACAGTTACATCACAGTTTACACTTTGAAAGTGTGTACATTACATTACATTATTGTACTTTATTGAGCCCCGTGGGGAAATTGCTCTCTGCATTTAACCCATTCACTCAGTGAAGCAGTGGGCAGCCATTGGGCGCCCGGGGAGCAGTGTGTAGGGACGGTACCTTGCTCAGGGGTACCTCAGGGTAGCTGTTAAGGGGAATCGAACCCCCGACCTTCCGATCATGGGGCAACCACTCTACCTACTGAGCTATCCCTGCCCCTTTGACTTATTTCAACAGTTGTTGTTGTTTTCCTGATTTTTTTAACCTTATGTAAATGACAAAACTCTAAGAATTTCTTCAAATTTACACACACTACTCATAAACTACTCGTAAGCACATTTACATTTTAACTGCAGTTTAGATTTCATGAATTAACAGTATGCGCTGTGAAAACTGGAGCAATGTAGCCTATTTAAAAGCACAGAGAGCGCTAACAGCGACATCAACAGTCTGTTCCAGCACACAAAGCCTTCCTTTACACCTTGTGCTTTAACCCTTTATTTTGTTTTCAGTTCACTAGTTAGCAGTTTGGTCCTGTGTTTTGTTCTGAAGAGGCCTCATTATCATCTATTCTCTTCTGTAAATGGCCACGTTTCCAAAAGCCATTCAAGGCAAACTTGTCCTTTCAGTTCGACAGAAATAACAAAAACTCTGCTCAATTAAATCAGAACATTTGTGAATTTGCTCAACAGAAAAGACCATAAACAAATGTATTTGTAAGGTTGATTTAATTTGCCAAATTACATTTGTGGACAACATTTAACATATTTTGGGGAAAACTTTGGCAACTAAAAATGTATAAAAACTTCAATCCAGCTAAATCAGATTTGGTGGAGATTGTTGTTTTGGTCTACTGGAAAGAGCTGAAGGATGCAGACTCCACATCTTAAAGGAAAAACTCTACAAGCAGCTTTAAGTCACACACACCTCAATTCCAACTCTTTATTGCATGCCAAGGCTTGAATAC